TTCAGGAGCTAACTTGCTCATTTTCGCTTTTAAATCTTCTAAGCTGGTCTGCAAAGTTGGCCAAATAAGTACCATCGACTCCCAGAGTCAAACTACACCTCTGAGCATTCTGAGAGTAGCACAGAGAAGAAAACAGAAATTTTTCTCAAGTTTAATCTTCATATGTGAATAATATATGAATGCATACAATGAAGACTCTGGTTTGAATTTTATCGCTGTTGCATTGTAATACTGGCAACATTCCCCTGAAACCAGAAAATTAATTTTAAACTGATCCGTCTGTGGCAGAACAGAATCTGCAAATCAACACTATTAAATAAACTTCTATTTAACCTGTCTCTTTGTAATTCTGTTTACTTTTCACTATACTTAACAAATTTAGGGATCTGTCTCAGAGGAGACATACATTAAAATTTGAAATAGTGATATGAATATCTATTTATCTATTAAAAAAAATAGGTTGAATGCTAAAACAATCTGAGCCTTTCTGGTTATATTTCTAGCACTTCAACACATTTATTTATATGCTTAACACCTAGCAGAGTATGTAAATCACAATCCATTTCCTGGCCAGCGGAGAGATGCACTTAGGTCTCGCTGACCTTTCTCAACTGTTCTTCACAAGCATCTGACAGATGTAGATGCCATGATGTCCTTGTTTCCTCATAATGAGAGTCATGCTTTCACCAAAGGCCACAATGGTATATGGCACCAAATATGTTTAATGCATTTGTAACTTTGAATGCCCTACGTTCCATACGGCAATATGACAAATTATCAGTTCAGTCTCTTTCTAGACACAGCTTAAGGCAATTGTTTTTGAACATTTTGGATGTTGTAAGTATATGATGGCCAGATGGTACGATCCCTGCTTTTGCATTTAGCCCATGAACGTACTGCAGTTACACATTTTTAGCTCTCTTTCCATAGATTATGACTATGGGAATCCTCTGGATTAAAGTGAGAAAAATGGGAGTTTAGCTTTTGGCCAACTTGGATCTCTTGTGATATTAACTCCATAGTTATTTCTAACTTTCTTTCCCCTTGAAGCTTTTTCAGTGAAGTCTGACCAAAGAAAGAGAGCTTTTATAGTTCATATCTTCATGCTGTTTCCTACATATTCACTCTTTTTTCCAAACTCTCTCATTTCACGGTAGAACAGAACTGGAAATGGTAGGAAGGTCAATTAGTATGACCAAAGATCATACAGGAAAAAAAGATTAAATAAAATAGTGCACTGTGGGCTGGAATAAAAATGGCTGAGCAGCTGAGGAAATACATGCTCAATGAATAAATAATTGTAAGTGGTGTGGAGAAAGTGAATAGGGAATGCTTATAAAAAAAAAAAAAGTACAAAAACAATTTATTTTGTTTATGTGCAACTCAGCTATGCAACTTGCTGCCACAGGATGTCTGTAAAGGTCAAAAACATGAAAAAGGTTCAAAAGGATTAGACACATTCACAGAAGAAAAATCTGTCAGCTATTACTGAACAGATAAAGAGAAAAGCCCTGTCTCAGGAAGTACCCAGTCTGCAAATTAATAGAAACTGAGGGAATTTACCAGAGGATACCAGAGGAAGGGATACTCCTTCTATCCCTGATAAGAATCCCCAACTAACCTCTGTCATAAATGAGCTCCTGGGTAAAAAGGACCTTGATCTGACCCAGAATGGCTCTTTCGTGTTCTTGATACCCTCGTTGATTGCCTTTGCAATTCTATGGGGAGATGAGAAGATTATGGTAGATTGAAGGCAGTTAAGGGGATTTTTGCTTTTAATTTGCCTTTGCAGAAAGTATGTCTCGACAGAGCCAGAGAGTCTAGTCTCATATTTCTCTCCTGACATGGATCTCAAGACTTTACTTTTGCTTCAGGTGTTCTTTACAGAATAAACAATGTAAGGTTATGTTGAACAGACATTGCTGAATATATGCTAGCTTTATTCGCAGCTCCCAGCCTGGAGGGTTTTTCTCCTTAATTCTCTAATCCCTGCTCTCAGCAGCACCCTTTGCCACTGCACTTTGCAGTGTTTTGCCTTTGTTCAGCAAGGTCATGCTGCAGAAGGTGCAGAAAGCAGCACCTGACAAGGAACAACCTCACTGAGCATTCAGCTAGCCTCTGGTAACTCACTGTGTAATCAAGCAAAAAATGACAGATGCCACCCTATCATCAATGACGTGGTTAAAGTCTATATAACCAAGACTAAAAGCAAACCCCAACAAAGGTCTTGCTTGCCAAAGTCTTACTGCCTTTCAGGGGAGGGAAGAAAGGGTACCTTCCTCTGTTATCAGGTGTCACAAAGGTGCGGGTGAGCCCATGTTCCAGCTACACCCATTTTACTATACATTTTTGAGCAATTTGTCCAGCATAAATGAAGCCACATGTGCAGAGCTTCCTGAGGAAAACAGCCCAAGGATCTTTTGCAAGTGTGGTCACTCTAGTCAATGGAGGGGAGGGAGAGGCAGCACCTCTTGGAGAGGAATAATTCTGAGAAATCTGGCTCTGTCCCCTTTTTGAGCCACGGAACTGGGTGGGGTTTTTTTGTGTCATTGGAGGATATTTATTTGCATTTCCTACTTAGACTGGATTTTTTTAGGAACACAGCCCACCTCTTTAGTCCATACTGTCCAATGTCTGTTAGTGTACAATGAGATCCTGACCAAGCATGTTGTTAAACTAGCTAAAGCACAGGTAACATGTCATCATCTCAGTCTAACATGCTTTTTTCCTGGCTTTTCAACTGTACATTTAGTCCTTTTTTAGGATCTCAAAGACTACAGTGACAGGGCAGGTGGGTGCATGGATGTTACAGCCATATGCTGTAGAGATTTAAACCAGCATCACATAGCCTTCCTTGGCTACTGGAAACAGCAGAGCTGTAGTAGCACAGAGGCAAGCATATGCTGCTCCTTAACTCTGCTTACAAGCCTATATGGAGAATTGCACTAATACAACTCTAGCTCTTCAGGTATGTTGACTAGCATCGTGTTGCTTACACACTTCCAAGCTGTTTTCAGTCACAGATATATCCTGGGATATAACCTGCATTCACGTAATGCAAAAGATTAGTAGCACTGCCAAGTGAGAGTTCTGGAAATGGCCTGCATGCCTGCCTCTGCGAGTTAGTGATATACAACTACTGCATCCTGCAGATAGGAGATCTGCATAGATCCTTCTGACTTCCAGTTGGACAAGCCTCAGGATGTCCAAGGGGCTAGAGATGAATCCTATGCAGCTTCTCCCACTGTAGAAGGTTGCTGGCTTTTGACAGCCAAGCCATGGCAAGGAGAACTTAGGAGCTACAAGAGTGTGACCATGCTTCATTCTCCCTGCCCTGTACCTGGACTTCTACCAGAACATGGTTACTGTGTATTCATGTGCTTACTGGAGACAACAGAGACAAAGACTGATGATCTGTTCATGGAGATGGAACGCCTTACATGTATATGGTAAGTGTCAGCAAACAGACTCATGGTATCCTGAAATGCATTTCCTTGGGAAAACTCATCATGGCGTACTTGTTTTTTCATCTGCATTATCTTATAGGCATATCTTAAGAGGCTCTTGAGAGCCTGAACATGACCTTTGGTTCTCTCACTCTGCTGACTACATCTGGGGAAAAAAAGTGTTTAGCAGCATGATGGAATTTTATTTATTTTATTTTAGCAGCATGGAAGTGATCGGACAGTGAGTAATGAAATAAATGCAAGTTTTGATTCAGTGACATCAGCATCTATGAAAATGCTGTAGCTCTGGTAAGGATTTCTGCTGCAAAGTGTTTCCTGTAGAGACCACAATGAAATTAACTAGTGAGTTTGTTTTATGTATCAGGAAAATGATCTAAAATTCCAAACAAATTCAGTTTCATCAGTGGCTTCCTGAAAATAGGCAATTAGTTATTTATAATGAATAGACACATACTTATCTATCAGTATTCTATGGGTCCAAATGATCTGTGGTATATCATTTCTATATTAAAAATACCTCAAACACCATCACAGTCCTGTTTGGCTTTTTTTTTGCCACCGAGGAAAAATGTCAAAGATCTACAAAGGCAGAAATTGACTCCCATGTTCACTCCACTAAGCACGTCACAGGAGAAAGAGGTCACATAGGTGGGGAAGAATTCCTCACCACTTCATCAGGATCCATGACCTAGCGCATCGTGGTAGGCCAACAACCCTGGCCACTAGCTATCTTCAGTAGCTATTGCCAGTTGTTCATTACAAGGAAGGTGGTGAGGCATGGTCAGATAGAAGAAACTCTGGGAAACCGCTTCCAGTTGCTTAGAGGCTGGTTGTCACCCTGGAATCTGAAGCATAAAGGTCTTTCTGTCAGTGCATGTTTGTTTTTTAATCCTTAGTATTGTAACTCTAGACATTTCCTATCCATCTACAGACCTCTCTGGCATCATTTTAAATCCTTTTCTTCAGACACAAGTTTTACACCCTGGCTTTAAAATGCAGCTATGGATTATGCATTCATTATACTTCCAAGCACAAGCAGGATCAACCCCTGTAAGACTTTGGATAAGGGACAGCCTCTGAAAGCCCGATATCCTGTGGGAAATGCTCCGGCTGATTCACCAGGAGCCAATATTCTGTCTGGTAATTCACCCTTGGTACTCTTCCAATTAGCAGCAGGAGACATAACCGCTAAGGCAGCCAGCTGCTACCTGCGCTGCCTCCCTTATCTGCTGTCTTCTTTCCCTATCTCGTTTGTCCTCCCGTACCTTTTGAGAGATAACACACCCTGCAACAAGGCAACGGCACCAAAGCCGTGACTGAACATTAAGTGGTGCAGCCACACAAAGAGCAGGCTGCGTTCCCTGGGGATGAGGCAGGGAAACAAGAAAGTGGAAAGGGAAGGAGCTCTGGCACCCATGGGCAGGAGGAGGAGGAGGAGGAGGAGGAGGAGGAAGGCTGGAGCTGGCTCGCTGGGGGCACAGGCGGTCGCCATGGCAGCCGGCCAGGCCGCAGCCTCCCCGCCACGCTCCATCCTCCCCGGGCGGGGCCAGGCTCGGCCCCAGCCCGGCTGCGCCACAGGGTGGTGGTGGAGGAGGAGGAGGAGGAGGAGGAGGAGGGACTCCGGCTCGGCACCGACTGACGTGTCCCCGTTATGGAGCCCGCCGTGATTCATCAGCGGCGGCGGGGCGGCAGCGGGGAGCCGCGCACCGGCCCCGCGTAGGCACGGCTGCGGCGGGGGCAGCCCCAGCGCCGCGCCGCCTTCATCCTCCTCCTCCTCCTCCTCTCCCTCCTCTCCTTCCTCCTCCTCCTCCTCACCGCCCGCTCCCGTGCCCCCGCGGCCAGGCGAGGAGCCCCGGGGAGGCAAGATGGAAGAAATCCTGCGAAAGCTGCAGAAGGAGGCGTCGGGGAGCAAGCACCGGGCCATCAAGGAGAGCTGCACCTGGGCCATCGGTACGGGGCGGGGGCGCTGGTATGGGGCCGAGCAGGTGGTATGGGGCCGGCAGGTGTTTGTTATGGGGCCGGGGGCAGGAGGGCTCCCCGCACAGGGTGCGCAGCCCCGGGCGGCTCCGGGCTGGGCTTTGCCGGGGGTCCGCGAGGCCGGCGGGGGCGTCGTCTGCCCCAAGCTCTCTCCTTCTAAATCTCCCCTTCCAAAATCATCGCAGGTGAAGCCCTAGGACTGACTTTTTTTTACTGCTGGCTTGTGTTCCGGCAGCTTTTTGAGAAGCTGCATTTTTATTTTGGCTGGATGCAATGAGCTCTTCTATTCTTGCTGTGTAATGGGACTAATAATCACTGATAGGAGCTCCTCCAAGGGAACACAGGCTTAGGTACATTTCAGTGTGGGTTGTCTGTGACTTGAGGTGCTTTTGGCACTAACTGCTTGGAGCATTAACCAGCAAGATCCTTAACTTACATCAGCAAGACCATGATACATAACATTGCTTTAGTTTTCAAGAGATGGCAAGCTTTATTTTTTTTATCTGTTATATTGGTTATAGCAGAGTTTGTGAAATCTCACACCTGTTGCTGTCTCATTGCTGGCCCTGCAGTTGGATGCTCTGCAGATTGCTCCACGGATTTGGGTGTTATCCTTGCACAGCAGCCATGCCAGCATCCTCCGTGCTGTTCTAGTTTCAGCAGACGTGCTGCTGCTGGAGTGCTGATACGTGAAAGGGAACTCACTGAGCAAAAGGTGGTACTTGGTGCCTTCTCATTGGGTGCCCGATGTCCTGATAGCCACGTAAATCCTACAGGCGGCTGTGACTATTGTTCTGTCGGGTGCAAAAGGTATGAACCTGATGATCATTGGTTCAGAGATCGTAGCTGGATGTAAGACTACAGTTGAACTCAAAGTCTCTTTTAAAGATCTTATTGTTTTCTTTGATCACACAGAAACCTTGGATTCTCCTGATGCTGCTGTCAAGATCCCTCCATATCAGCTAAGGTAAGAACACGTGATGTTGAGACTGGTGGAGCTGTGAGTATTTGTAAAATTGAAGTCAAAATTGGAATCACAAACTAAGTAATTAGGAAGGGTCTGAATCTGCATGTTTTCCTTAGTCTATATATACACGTTTCTAGGTTAGTTGTGATGAATACTTTGTTGATGTGTCCTTGGCTTCCATTCATGAATAAACTGTAAGGAAAAGTATTAAAATGGGCAACAGTATCTATAAGGCTGATAGTTGGTTAGAAGGGAGGGCTGTTCTCTGGTCTGACACTGTTTGCCTTCTAAATTACAGTCTCCAGTGTGATGATGAATCTCAGTCTTTCAGAGCATATAATTTCTTTTAAGTCTAGATCAGTTCTTGTTTACTGAAACAGTAACTCCAGTTACTGTTTACTGAAAACATTGTCCTGTGGTTTCTTATGAAATGTACTCTAAAAATCGTGGAAGTATTATCTAAAAAATTATGAAAGTATTCTGAAAACAGAAAGGCAATATATAGCTAGGACAATGGGATGTCCTAGCTTAAATAATATAGTTCCTATGACTTAAATAATATAGTTCCTATGACTGCTTCTTCCTTTAGTCTGCTAGGTTATCTTGAGTAAGTCTTGTCCCTTCCTCTTGCTTTCATTTGGCCACCTATAAAATGGTGGAGGAGGCACTGCCCCCATTTGTAAAGCTATTTAGTATCTCATTTTAGCAATTGATTGCTATGGAGAAAGTACATAGCCAAAATCATTCGCTGTCCCTCCCAACAGACTCACTAGGAAGCATAACAGAATCTAGCAAGTTCAGTGCTCAAAACAGGAGGATGCTACTTCACGCAGTTTATAGTTAAGATGTGGAATGCTTAAACTTCTCTTGGTAGAGAATGTCATCGATGCTAAAGGTTGCATTGGTTCGAAAAGCACCTCAACAAATCCAGGGAGGAAGTTGATTGAGGTCTGTTATATGCAAAAGTACCCCTTCTTATTCAAAAGTATCTTGGCAAGAGATTATTGAGCTTCTAAGAGAATATGTAGGAGTGTTGCTATGAATTTGCACTGTCCTGTAGCCTTTCTGGATAATCACTACTAGCTGCTGACAGAAGTGATGCTTCTAACCATAGTATTACTCTCCTGGGAGTATTTTTACCACCTCATTTCTCTACACCGCTCTGGGTGCAGCTTTGTGCAGGGAAAATTACACAATTGGAGAGGTAGCAAGAGAACTGCTCTTATTCTGGACTAGTCACCAGATAGGGAAGGAATAAGAGCAGTTCTCTTGCTGCTCTGCATGACTGCCAGCTACAGTGTCCACAAGGGGCCTGGTGTCAATAGGGAATGGATGTAGTGCAGGTCTGACACGACCAATCCCAGATCCCTGCGTTTCTGACACGGGTTGAACAGCTAAGAGCAGTTGGATCAGTAATTCCCAGTAGCTCCATTAGAATCAGATTGTTTGTTTTGCACTGTGATTGGAGAAAACTTAGCTCTTTATCTTTTCATTTATCAGCCTTTATACTTAATACAGAGCATGGTCTTTTTGTATATAAGTACTATTCTCATTCCGTAAGACTGTTAGCTAGCTGTTAATACATTTCTTCATTTTTCACTACCTCTTCACAGATGCATCTTCCTTTTCTTCTTCTTCCAATGTTTTAATGTTGTATTTGTTAGCTTTTTTTTTTCCATTGTAAATTCTATTTATTTTTTATATAAAGCTAATACTTCAGCAAGTGTAGCTGTGAAGTGTGTATGTGTGGTGGGGGGTGGGATTTGTTTCTTAGCAAAATAAATGAATGTTGGAAAATTTGAGTAAAAGCTTTGGTAATGTGATCTTTATGATGTAGGCACTGCCATGTAACCTCAGCTGGTGCCTGAGAAATACTAACTTCCCCAGTACTCTGTTTATTCTTCATTTTCTAGCAAACTACTGTTAAGTTTTTCCAAATGAGCACTCCGGGCTGGTTCTTGGGTTGGAATTTGCCTTTATAATGTACCAGTGAAAATGTGATAAAAGCTCATCTTTGCTTGGTATTTGTTAAAGAACCATGGCAGCTTGATCCATAACACTGCAAAAGAATAGCCTTGAAAATATGGCAAAGACAAAGACCAGAAATACAGCTGAGATAGATGTAGCATGGAGAGATCCCAACCGTGCACCGTGCCTTATTTCATCTTGATCAGTGGCAGATTGCATCATCTGTTTAAATACACATCAGCCTTTCGCTGCTTACCCACTCCGAATCTGGCATTCACACCTTTTCTGCTATAACATTGTTGGGAGTAGTAGCAGAGCCTGGGATGTAGTCTGGAATACTCTGTGGTACCAGAGTTAGTGTGTAGGTATGTATCACTTTTCCATCTAGTAACCCTAACCCCCAACTTGGATCTGAAGTCCGTAGTTGCAACTTGCTGAAGGTATTAAAGACAATGTGGAAGGTAGTTCAAGAGAAGAATATGTGTCTGTAAGGTCTCTTCCAAGAATAGCAGCTAAACGAATGTTTTGAGTCCTGTATGTGAAGAGAGAATATTCCAACTTGTTTAATGGGAAATTTTGGTGTGTCCTTAGAATACACCAAATACAAAGAAAATACGTCAGTATTTTCCTACATTATAATTTGCCAATAATCACAATCTGGGGCACATCTTTACTGCATAAGAATGTGGGACAGAGATTCATGAGCTGTCATGTCCAGTTGAGGTAGATGCTGGCTCACTTCCAGAAATAGCAAATCTGGTAAGTACCTCAGTCAGTTTCTCTTTCTTCACAAAGCAGCATCTGGCTTCTGCTATCAGCAGCTATCTGCTTCTGCTGGTGTTTGTGCCTTTTAATGGAATCGCCATGCCGTTACTTAAACCCTTTTCCTTCTAGACTAACAATGATTTCTGCTCACAAAAAAAAGGAAAAGTGTAAGCTATTTTCTCTGCCTAACTCCTTCCCTTCCTCCCCTCCCCTCCCTTTCCCCCTTAAAATAAGAAAGGACATTTGCAGCTTTTGAAACCACAGTTTTAGACGAGTAGTGGTCTTTTATAGTGTTTTAAGACAGTGGTCCTAGTGTGAGGATGGGAGTACAAAATGTTTCTGCATTTCCTCAGCTGACTAAATGATTTCAGGTATTGCACGTGTATTAAGTAAGCTGCATGCTTATCTCCACTACAGTGTTGGGGTAGACTTTCTTTGTCCTGGCTTGCTCTCATCCGTAGAGTCCTCTCTTGTCTTCAGCCCCTATTACTGAGCATAAGGCAGGCAATGCTCAGTTTTTTCCTAAAGTCCAGTGCAATTAGTTAGCAGGCTCAGCTGTAGCATTTGTATGGGAACTGTTTCCAGCATTTGTCTGGTGGTGGTTTAGACAGCATATACCTGCTATGTTTGGAAGCACCTGGGATACTTTTTCCCCAAGGGAATGCGGTGATTGGATGTTCAGCCTGGATTGTCATTTTTTAATTAGTTTAATGGTGATCTATTGGGCATGTCTTCGGAGAGCTAAATGAGACTATTTTGCTGCTCAGCTTCCTTTGATGTTAATTGGACTTATGAATCCAAATCCCAGTTAATGACCTTGAATGTTAATTCTAGAGAGGGGCGTTATTTAAATGACTCACTTCCTAAAGAGTTACAAATCTCCAACAAATATAGACTTCCCCACCGAGTCCCATCAGCTCTGCCTTGAGGTAGAAATGCGTGTGCGCTTCTTTAGTACTTTAACATCTGAACAGGGTGTTGAGAAAGGGTGTGAAATAGTAAAGACAATTAGAGTGGACTGGGATGAAGATGCCCTTAAGTTAGTTCAAGGTTTTCCCATAGATGTCCTCTGGATTTTTGAGAAGGAATAGTCATAACCCACCTGGGCTGTTGTTGCAGTAGAATGATGGTTTTTGATGAACAGGTGTTGTGAAAATTAAATATGTACTAAGTGCTTGAGGAGACTGGGTGAATAACAGAAGTAATGAATTAGGTAAAAGGAATTGATGTGCTGATGTCTTAATTGGTGAACTGATCACATGGAAGATAGCTTAAGAAAGAGCTTAATGTCATCTGTCAACCAGCAATTTGCTACTAAGTTGGGCCACGTTCATTTCAGTGTTTTTCAAATGCCAAGTTCTGTCCTAAGGCCAGCCACCTACGCTAAGCTGGTCTCTCTTTTTGGCTAATTCCTGGTGAGTTTCTCCGTTGTGATTTTTAAAAATATGTTCCATAAAAGGTAAATGAACAGACACAGAAAACGAGTGTTAAAAAAGAATATTTGATCAAAGCAGATCATCATTCATGAGGAAATAATATGTATACACACACCAGAATAAAATAAGAGTCTAGACATTGCTTAACAGTCACATACCACTTTAAAACAAATTAGTTAAGCAATGGGCTTTTAGAATGCTTTATATAATTGCTATGCCTTATAGGCTGTATAAAACCGAGTGGCTTTCTGACAGTGTGGACTTGGTCCTGCAAAGAGGAGGTTGGTTGGGACTTGTGAGGGAGCCTGTGGTTTGGTGGCTAGTTTAGCTGCTGTGCATTGGTGTTGCTATCCCCACTGGAGCCTGGAATCTTGCATACAGAATTTCTTGCCACATCCCTGCTGTAATTTGTTCAGAAAAACATTTTGACAATCAATAGACTGTGTCTCATTCTAGGACATTTTTGCACTTTCCAGGTCTTACCGTTATCCTATTGTTACTGCTTTTTGTTGTTTGTTTGTTTTTTCCTCTACCCTTTAGCCAGTAGAGCAGAAACATCATTGCAGACTTGAGTTTGGGCTGTTGTTTCTTTCCTCCTGGAGAAATGTGACTGAAAGCAGATGATGATGCATAGACAAGATTGTCGATAGCATATGCTGCTGTCAGTGCCAGCTTAAAGTTTCCCCTATGGACTTTAAAGTAATGGCTGAGACAGGTTGATGGGTGAAGTGTTTTGGCACAGTAACTAATCCTGTTTGCATTCCTTCTTCACAGAACCGGAAAGGCCTTCCAAATGCTTACTTACCTCTTCAGCATATCTGTGCACTGGAC